TCAGTGCAGTGATTATATAAAGGCATATAAAAGATTTCTTTATCAGAACTTTGGAAAGATGTCTTCCTGGTAGGTGTGAGGATGCTTTATAATAGGAAAGGAGATGGAGAGCACTGAGCAACAGAAGACATATTATTATTCAATAATACTGGTAAATGTGGATTGTCTTTTTGGATTATGATTTTGAATTGATCACCACAGAACTTGTACTTAACCTACTGACTCAATACTGTCTGCAAGATGTAATCATTAGTTATAATGAGTGTAATAATGTCTACAGGTTCGGTTGAAGAATTTTTAAACTAGAGAAATTTTCCTTTTTTATCTACCAAGCATTGGCGTTGTGTGCAGAAGATGAGTAATAAGCATATTGCATGTGGTGGAGACAACAGCCGTGTAATCACTGGGTTATAGCAATCACTGCATGGCGTGATTGGATCTCTTATATGTACATGAGGTTGTACAGTTTGTGATCAGATGACATGATAATGGGTTTGATTTGGCTTGCTGTTGGATGACAGGATGTAGAGATTTGATATATAAGAATGTGTGTCCAGTTGTATATAGTGTGCGAACATGCATGTATGTATACATGCATACACATACCTACCTACTTAGTGACATAGTGACATTCAGTAAAGCTTATTAATGGCTACATTTTCTACACAAGCATCCTCTGTTTCAGTAAATATTCTGATCACCTACATCTTCTCCAGTTGACACTATACCAGTAGCCATAAGAAGCAAGTATTATCCTTCAACCTCAAAACCAGCAAAAAGTGTCTATTTACCAAATAGAGTATATTTTTCTCCTAATTTTCTGAAGCTTGTTTAAATTGAAAATTACTGGGAGGTTTTCATGGTTCAAATGTAGGATGAAGTCCGTATAATCAGGGTTTCATGAAGAGAGTCATTATATAATACCTTTTGTAGTTTGTATCATTCAGCTGATAAAATGTATTTCTGTTTTAGTTGAGATTTGTTAGACATTAAGAACGTTCACAAGATTTTGTGCAAGGTTTAACAGAAGTAGTGGAATCACCTCTCAGGGGTGGATTTAAGTTTTCTTCTGGAAAACGGTCAGATTTACAAGTTTACATTGACGGGTATCAATTTTTTCTGTCGGAAGACGGTCAAAAATGGTGGATGGCGCAACAAAGATAATTTGGAAGACTGTCAGAAAATATCTTAGGATCCGCCACTGCCTCTGATGTTCCTTTTGTCCGTTGTCTGTATGTTTGTCTGCTTTGCTGTATATTTACATCCTCTTTCATTTCAAAGGTTTGCTCGTAAAATTGTTTGGGTGTTTTGGAAGTGAGAAAGGAAATGTTTTTATATTGTCTGTTTGTGTGATAAGCCATGTTTAGTTTGAAAAAAAATGTTATTTATGATTAGTCAAGGCTGTTGGCTTCCTGATTTTAACGACTTGCCCAGGCTCAAGTAGAGTTCATCGGGAAATATCAAATTAGAAAGAGGAGAAAATACAAGACAAAAAACAGTTTTGCAGTTGGAAAAAAGTGGAAAAGAACTAACTTTATTTTTTCTTAGACATAACTAGATAATCTGTTCCACAAGAATTGAAATATGTTTGAAACTTGATGACTTGACTGGATGCTGGGTGAATAAAAACCATATATTATTTGTTGGTTTAAACTTAAAATGAACTGATAAAAATTCCCAAAAGGATTTTTAAAAGGCATCGTGAGAAACTTCTATTAAATTCTGGTTGGATTAGTGAAAAAACACGGAAAGCATTTATTTATAATATGGGAGTATGCAGCAGGGAATACCCTGTCCTCGTCCATTGTACATCTGGAAAACTATACAGGAAATGTTGATATGTGATGGCAGGTTGTGATGTAACTTTGCAAGAATTCTCAGCTGCTTGTGAATGTGTGCCTCATTGTCAGCAGCTCCATGGGTATGGAAACATTAGCCCCCTTAAGCTTGGACTATTCACGATATTGCATTCTCTTGTATAGCTAGGCGCTCTTTTAGCACACATATTTTAGATTTTTGTTATTAGTCATACTTCGAGTACATGACAGAGCAGGCTCTCACATCTGCTCTTGTTCATTTGAAAACTTTGCGACGACGTATTGAAGTTCAGATACAGGTGAAATTGCTAATATTAGAAGAATTTTCCGTGGCTGCCACGTAAAGTGACATAATCTCGCAAGCCTCTTGTAGAACAGCTGATAATTCTGACATGTTGGAAAGTATGCCTTTTTTTCCTGTTGACTTGATTGACTCACGGTGATAAGTATGAAGTATTTGTGTATGTGAATATGGTTTTATCTCTCTCCCTGTGAGCACCTGCATATGTCTGCCTTCTTAACACAGGTTACCTGCTGATCCCCACTGTGCACCCTGAGTAACCTAGTCTGGGTTAAACTCACCTTTGTTATCAGCATATAGTTATGTGATCTCATGTCATGAATATGATGAGAAGAGGAGAGTATTTAACTTAGAAACTAAGGGTTCATCTGTCATACTTTTTATAGGCCATGATTATTTTACTCTTTTAGTTAGGTATATGTAGACAAGACTTTTCTTACTTATTCACTTTGTTCTGGTGTACTCTGGTAGCTTAATTTAAAAACCGAAGGACACCCAAAGTGATGCACTCACTAGGACACAAACAAAATCACCCATAAAAACAGTAACCTGATAGGAAAAGCAGCCATTTTTATTGGTGGGAACTGGGTTCGGGTCTTGTTTTAATGACTGATTTTGGCAAAGTCACAAAGGCAAGGGCAGATTTCTTATTAGATTTTGGATGCTTATAAACAAACAGCCTCTCTGTTTCCTCTTTTCCTGTCAACCTATATTTATTTATTTGTACTTGCAACCGAGATAACTACTTGTTTGACTACTGTTACCATTATTGATGGAAGAATTTTTTGTTTCCACTTCATCATATCAACTTCATTAGTCTGAAATGTGCCAAAATTTACAAGTAGAAGATTGATGCTAGCTTTGGTGATATTTTCACCACATTTCTCAAACATGGGAATATTGGTAAAGTTTGATCTATTTTTTATATTAAGTGACGACACGGACAGGTTACATCTGAAACCTTCATGAAAAATTGAAAAAAGTTGTTGTAAAAGCAGTAGAACCCATCTATAATGAAGACCACAGAACAGCTTTCAAGGCGTAGCAAGTGAATTATTGATGCAAAACACACCGTGAAAAGAGCACTGTCAACAAATTCACTTTATTCATTTATTCAGAGTGCTATCCCCAAAATATTTTTTTCTTTTTTTATTCTTTTTAACTCATTCTTTGTTTCCTTTTTAATCCTTGTGTTCCCAGCAGTTTTTCATTACTTTCTTTTGTCATAACAGGCACCCGTGCATGTTCTTGATATTTTCATTACCTATTGTCTTCTGATCAAAAAGGTGTATTTTTGATTATGTTTGATTGATTATGTCTGTTTAGAGTTGATGGTGCAAGGATAAAGTGTTTTGTGATAAATTAAAAGTATGTTTGTCATCAGAATTACAAATTATTGAACACAGAACTCCCACACAAAGAGAACACGTCGCCAGTGTGCCACTTGCTTAAGACTTAAAAATTTTACCATTTACTTCCAATTGCTGAAATGAAATGCAATTTAGATCTCAATTAATTGTTAAAATGATAGCCCATAGCATCACATTTATGTAAATGTTGTTATTTCACCTAAGTTATCCAAGTCTGAAAAAATCAGCATATGTTTACCTTGACCCATCTTTCATGTTTTTCTCTCTTTTGCTATGTTTTGAAGTAAGACAGGTCATTGGGAATACTGCCCAACTGAGAGTGTCAGGGCATTAGAGTGCATTTGAATAGGGTGCACATTTTATTGCTCAGTACAGGTGTTATTTTAGGCGTTTTTCATCTTTCCGTTTTCTATAACCTGCCATAGCTATAAATGGATCTCTTAACCTTGACAGTTTTTCAAGAGGCTGTTTTGTTTGAAGTAGTTTGTTTGGTCATGTCAGGAAATGGAGGGGTTTGAACTTGTATGAAACCTTGTCAGACATGTGCAGTATTAGTTTTTTCGTTAAGGCTTCAGTCTGTGGTCCCATTCAGAATGGATGATCCGAGTGCTTGCTGATCCTCCCACTAAATATGGCCGACCACTGTTCAAAAGCGATGCCGCTGATTCTTGATGGTCTCCCTGACTCCACACGCGCCTTTAAACATGGTTTAATTGCTAGGCCACTGCAGCAATGTACTGTAGTCAGCCATATTTAGTAAGCAAATCAGTAAGTAGTCGGATCATCCATTCTGAATGGGGCCTGTGATATTCTTGAATCTAGTAGAGGCCATAAAGTGACTCAAATGCTACAGGGGTGATAGCTACACTGCTGGTGGGCTTCACCTGAATGGAGGTTAATGTTCAGAAATGAAAGATATTTTTATTGAAAGGGACATCGAGATGAGTGAAAGTTGCTACATATTTGCAGATAAAAAGTTCCCTGGATAAAAACTGTCAAAAGTAAAGTGTAGGAATTTAGCTACATATTTGAAGTATACTTTAAAAAGTGATGTGGATGGCTATGTATTGTTTTCTGATAGCACAATGCTGTTGTGTGTGCGCGCATGTGTGTGTGTGTTTGTATATTTGACCAAAGTTTTGATTGCCTTACTTATACGAGCTTTCAATGTAAACAATTTCCTATTCAATTTATGCCCTTGCACACCAATGTAATGTTGTCAAAAAATTCTCTTTATTCAAAATATTACTATATACCATTTAAAGAAAAAACAGTATAATTATGCATATTTCCTTTATGATACAACAATATAACATTAGTTGACTTTGATGTAATGTTTCTTGGACATGTTCATTAACCCTGTTTGCAGTTACTACAGTACATATGTGTTATTCCCATGTAGGTTGTCATTGTTACTGTTTCCCCACAGATAGGAAAGTTACCACCTACAGACTCCTACATTATTGTCCAGATATAACAACATCATTAGTACAAAGCTATTCATCATTCCAGTTTCCCTCAGAAGGCAGAGCAGTCCACCCACAGAGTTCACTGTTATGTGCCTGCAGCAGTAGCAGCCGTATTGAAGCACTCGCCAGGACTGGTGGCGCCAGCTGTACAGGCCTTCTGCCACAGGGACCCCGTGGACATGAAGGTGAGACCCCGCTGTATTCTCCATTGTACAATCTAACGCCATAAGTTCAAATGAATCCGTGCATCTAGATTCATCAGGCAAATTTGTCTCCTTATAATCCTTTGCTACCCATTAGGTCTTAATGCATTTGAAATAGTTGATTTAAAAGTATTCCGTTGGTGTTTCCCATTCCAAATGTTTTATGTATAAAAATAATGCAGACCATTACATGCAATTTTATGAAAAGATGGCTGTTTGGGTAGTAACTTAAACTTATTAAAGAGTACACTTATTTTGACTTGAAAAATTAAAATATTAAGATATATCCAAGTGAACTGTAAACTGGACAATACATGTCCCTCCATAGGTTTAATGAGCACCTTGATGGGAAGTAATGAGAGGGAAGATGTCCAGATTCTTCCATATGCTCCATACTTTTTTTATTTCTAATTAATTTTCCATAAAAATAAAACTCAATGAATCTGTATGTTTATCATTAAGTGCATATGGAATAAATAAAGTCTAAATAATTGTGTTTAGCATGTATATTACAAAAATAAGAATAAGTCAGAACAATATATGATCACCATTGGGAACTTTTAGTTTTTATTTATTTATTTATTTATTTATTTATTTATTTATTTATTTATTTATTTTTAGGCCTGCAGAATCATGCAGCACTTTCGTCCAGGCACCAGAGTCTTAGCTGAGGTATGTTCATCTGAAGCTTGTTTCTTATCTACATAAAATTTGCTCAACATGTGTAGTTGTGCAGATAGTACATACCTGTTGTTTTGTGATCCCTGTACTTATTTGTAATGTCTGAAGTTTCCCCATAACTAACTTATTTGCATGCATGCATTTTACCATAAAATGGAGAACTTTGTTTGATAACCCTGGCCAAAATCTGTTTTAGGGAAACCTGAAGTCTATTTTAGGGAAACCTTAGATATTAGTACTGCACCTATTTCATTTAAATTTACAACAAGTTATATTTATTGAATTTGCAATAAGTTTCATTTAGTTTGTGCTTTAAATTAGAAACAAGTACTGAAACAGTGTTGCCTACTATTTAAAAATTCAGATTACAGTTTTAAATAAATTGTAATTAGTATTCTCCATAACCCTAAAAATTATAGCTGTACGTTCTTATCGATTTACTCAGAGAAGCCATTTGATTGGTTTTAGGTGAAGTTTACAAAGTGCCTGTATGCACAACTGATGAAGCAGAAGTTTCACCCAGAGAGGAAGAGTGATTGGACCCTCCCTCCTCCAAAAAGCAGCAAACACAAGTCCTACGACCTTGGCATGAAACTGGTAACTAAAGCTTCTGTGATATTTTAGATAGATGTTCTAGTTTGTTTATGATATATGTTTTCACATGATAAAACAAAAATTGCATTTATCGGGTACAAAAAAAAAAAGAACACCCAGACACAATTGGCTTAGATGTCACTTAGATATATGCATTAGTTTATGTTTGTTTTATATGCTTTCCATTGTCTATATTAATTATGATGAAAATATCAGAAAGATATGTTGCAATATATTTTGTCTGAAAATAAAAAACATTCAGTGGTAAAATATCTGGTTGTTTATCAAGCATTATAGCCTCTAGAAACCTATATTAGAGACTTGTTATCTTAAAATGGTCCACAAACCTACTAGTAGGTGAGTTTGTCTTCTTAGTAATATGGAAGGTATAGGGATTTGGAGACTAGAAAATAATTTATAGTGATAATTGAATTCCAATTAAAGCGAATACTTTGGGGTTTGTTAAAAGTTTTCTCCCTAGCTTCTAATCACTTCAAAATTATATATCTGTTTAATTATCCTTCAGTGTCTTTACTTACATGCATTTTGTTTGTGTTTTGAAAATGAAATCATGGCTTTTAATTCCTAGCTGATGTAATTGCTTCAGATTTTCAGCAAGTGACCATCATAAATATACATGGTACTGGCCTAGGCAAGGAGCCACCAATCACCCCTGTATATTTATAACGTAATTGCTGTTGACTGATTTTTACAGACAGCTTACAGTAGGATTAATGAAAGTACCATTTCGTGAGCCAAATATGAATGGCTTGACTAAGGGCTGCCAGAAAGAGTTTGACGTTTTTTATCACATTTAATTAATTGTTATGTGCCTGTTGCTTTTGAAGTAACATGTAGGTGTTCAAAGTGTTCGCGTCAGGTAAAAGGCATGTTAATAAGCCTTTGAATTTCAAGTATGAAAGCAAGTTAGGGTTAAAATGAATATATATTTTCCCGTTTATATGGATACCAAGAGACTCTGATTTGCTGCTTCCGTTTTTCCTTCCCTCATTAGTTATGTATTGATTTTGCTATTTTCCCACATTCTGGTAACACCTGTGATTAGCAAATATCCTGTGACCTTTAAAGGCTATGAATATTAAGTTGAGTAATCCCCAGTCTTTGTTACTGCTAGGTTATCATGTGGCTCTTCTATGGTTGTAATAATGCTAATTTGAATTATATAAAATATTGTGGTGTATATGTGAGTGTATGTGTTTGTGTGTGTGCGTGCGTGCACGTGTGAACTGGTAGTCAGTGTTACTTTTGCACTAAATAATCATAATGACGTGCTTGCATCATTCTTAAATTTCCTGAAAATGTCGAAAAAAATACAAGCGGAAATTAGAAAAGCTCTAATCACTGTCATAGCAGGCCATGAGATAAGGCAGCAGGATGTAAGTTGACATTCATATTGTGAATATTATGAGATCTCCGATCATGTTCTCATAAGTCCAGAAATATATCTCCCGTTGACGAGCATGACACTTTTTTTTCTTCACATAGATCAAAGTATGAGCCCATGCCAGTATGGCTGGCTTCTGAATGCATGATGGTATCACAAATATTGATTCCTGCAAATAAGACTCTCCTCATTAATCTTGCTTAAATTCACCAGCAGTTCTCTTGTTTCTGCAGGCATATGGGTTTGAGATTCTTTGTGCTCAGTGTGCTTCCAACAAAGCAGGCAGGGAGGTGAACGCGGGCTCGGCTCAGAGACCTGTCAGTGGAGTGAGGTGGCAGAGGTTTCTGGCAGCACTGCAGCAAAAGGGATATTTTAGGGTGAGTGTGACCACATTAACTTTGGAAATATGGCTTTATGATTTGGACACGAGTTGGGGGTCAAGGGCAGTATTCTGTGGTAGATCATATTACAAGGAATGGCAAAAAAATGGAGACCCTAGGGGTGGGTATTGTTTTCTTTGTAGCATCGACACAAAAGAAGAAATCGAAGTATGCTTTCACATCTTTTAATGCCCTATACAAACATTAATATGATACATGACAATGAATAAGGTTATTTGAATGAATGTCTTTGGGTGATTTAATTTACAAATTCTGTATATATTCTGTCTTTGTCATTGTCTGAATTTTTTTTTTTTTTTTTTTTTAATGTTTCACTTCCAAACCTTTCTATTCTTTCTTAATATATTATATTTGGGTAGTTGGTCTCTAAACTGCCAAACCATTTTTACCAAGAGACCTTTCAAACATTATTTGTCATTTGGAGGCATTTCTGTTTCATTCACCCCATAACAGTTATACTATATCTCTGTTTTAGTTGAAAGTCTCTGTTTTTGTCTGTTGTTGAGGTGAAAACTGTTTTTAAAAACTCTTTAAAATGTATTATCCACATTGTCTTAAAGTTCTTTTTTTTTCTAAATTTCATTTTTAGGACACTAGGAAGTTTTTTCTATACATGTATTTTTTCAGCAATCACCTATGCCAAACCTTATTTTTTGAATTTGCTCAATGACTAATTGTATGGTAATAAGGCAGGTACCTTTCAAATATCAGTATGATTGGATTATTTTCACAAAAGTTATTGATTTCTTTTTTGTGTTTACATTTATGTGTTTTTGGCAAAGTTCCCCCCATAGGTGCCAAACCATATTTTAGTTCTACTTCAAAATTCTAAGTGGCTTTGTATATATATATATATATATATCAGACAGGTTCCTTTTGAATATCAGCATAATAGGATGAATTTTGCAAAATTATCTATTTATTTTTATTTTGTTAATGTTGTTGCAATTTTTTATTCTTTGGTGTTTGTTTAGTTGCAAGCTTTAATGTCTAGTAACATCTAGAAGTTTGCCATCTTCAAATCTAATTTTTTAAAAAATTGACAGACATGAGTGCATATATAAATATATATAGTCTGTATCAAATAACCTGAATATGAAATACGAAATACTTCATCAATAAAAGCTTTCTGTGTCACATTTAAGCACATATATTATGATTATTAATATGAAAGAATGTTACATATGGCTGCCCATGCCTATCTTTTTGTCTCATATGTAATGTTGATGTTTATTAACGGAACACTTCATTTCAACATAGAAGAGTTCTTAAATGGTGTGGGATTAATGTATATACATTGTACTTGGTCAAATAAGTAGCCTGGTGAAAGCATTTTTTCAGTGTGAAATACGTACTGTGTTAAGTATAACGAGTGAAGATTCATCATAGCTGATAATTCAGTTGTCTTCAGCAGTAATCTTTAAAGACTCAATTAATGTGCCTTTTATATCCTAGTTCGCAAAGAAGTAAATACCACAATAAATACATTTGATTGAAAAAAAATTAAGCCTTTACATTAACACCCGAAATCTGTTAAAAAAGGAGTAAATACCCAATTAAGAATTTGAACTGCTTGTATTCAGGGTGAACTGGAAGGCTCTAAGCTATATACACAGCTGTTGGAGAATGCTAAAAGATACTTCAATAAGACCATCAACACAGATGACAGGTAAGTCACGCTTATATAATACTGATACTGGTATGAAATTCTTGTTGATGGATTAAAAAAGATTATATACCAAGTTATGTGGGTTGTGCTTGTCTAATAGCAGTGAATATGCCATGCTGATTCTGTGGAAGACATAAAAATGCATTTAAGACTGCAAAAGAAAGTATATTGAGTATCATCATATATTTAATCTAGTTGATTATTCCTCAGGCTCAGCATCTTACAGCATGAGGCATTTGGTTATGCAAGGCAGGAAATGCATGCCTGTTTCCCATCCTTTGTGCTGTAGCTGAATAAAAAAATCTAGTTGAAATACAGAGCATATTGAAGATACAGATATGAATTAATAAAAAGGACAAAAAACAATATATCAGTGAATTTTTCTTATCAAACTTAATTAAATACTGTTGTGCTTCCTGCCAAACAGAGGTCAACTTTTAAGTTTAAAAATCTCAAGGGAGTCTTCCCTGAGCTGAGCCAGATACTGAATAGGCACTTGGGGCACTCCTTGTACATGTATTATATTTATTAATTTCTTTCATCTTTTGGCAAAATACAGGAGTTCTTGCACCTGAGACAACTGTTGTTATTACTGCTAATCACCATGGCTTAGAGATAACAACTTTACATTATTTATTCAGCCCAGAGGATTTCTCTGTTGATTATCCTAAATAATCCTCTATTACTGCAGTATTTATTTATTTATTTATTTATTTATTTATTTATTTATTTATTTATTTTTGCATGGCTAATATAAGATTGCCTAATTGCTTATGGAAAAAAGAATTGTGTTGGTACATGTCAGTTAGATTTTAATATGATGCAGTGTCTAAATCTGATTTTTTCATTTTACTTTTTATTTCAAAGATATATTATCTACTACTTTCTTTTTTTTTTCACATAAATAATAAACTTAAACTATTCCAGCTTTTATGATGAGCCTGGTCGCCAGATCCTGGATATTCTGAACACAGTGGACATCAACATTGAGGAGATGAGGAAGGAGGGGAATCAACTGCCGCCTGAGGATGGTGAGTTCAGATTAACGTGTGCACAGTTATAAACATTTATGTAACCATCAGTAAACTACATGTATACCTTGGCATTTCTGACTGTTTCTATTATAGATACAGATAATATTACAATAGTGAGTCAATCGTATAATACAAATTATTAGATACTGCCAGTGCATCCATTGCAGATGATGACAAAATGTTCATCTGAAGCAACCAAATTAGACAATTTATGAGATACAGTACTTCTGGTATATTCGTTGTGCATCCAAAAAAGAGCACTCTCCAATAACGAATGCCTCAAAATGGAGATTAAAATGATGAGGTAATGTTCTCTTCCAGATGACAGCTGGTTAGACCTGACCCCAGAACAGTTAGATGACATGTTGTGTAAGGTTGCAGGGATTGAAGACCCACAGGAGAAGAAAGATGCATTTGATTTTAGCCAAGTCTCTGAAAGCATGAAAACATTTGTAGACAAAGTATCTAGTCACGAGGGAGCAGAGTTTCCTGGGTAAGTTACACCCCAAAATGAGATTTATGTGGGCTGCAATAAAACTATGTATAAATAGATTGACTTTCTTACAGCATAGAGAGTTCTTAGTCATTTACATAAAAAAAACTAAACTATACTTTTTTTATCAAGACTTCAATAATACTATAAATAGATTGGCTCCTGAAAGCATGGAGTGAATTTAGCTATTTACATCAAAAGCAACTAAACTATAATTTTTATTTGGGCAATAGTACTATAAAGAGATTGGCTTCTTAAAGCATCGAGTGTTGTTAGCTACTGCAGTATCTATGCCAAAAGAAATTTAACTATACTTTTTTTTTATGTAGGGGATTTCTGAATTGTAGTTTATATCAGTTTAATTTTGATTTCAGGGATGATGAGGGTGATGTCCAGTTTGAAGCGAATGGCTTTATTGAGTCAATGACAAAAATGTTTGGTAAGTGAGGACAGAGAACGGCATAACCAAGTTCAAATGTGGGAAGACAAGCATTTGTTTTTAATTTAAAGAATTCCTTGAGACACTTCAGCCATTAAACATAGACATGTCATTACTCCAGTGTATTTTTAATGTGAAACGTATTAAGCAGACATGAGCTTTTTACTGCAGAAATGCAGAATTCCACATTTTTTAGTATAATTCTGATGGTTCCTGAGATTCGGCAAGAATAAATGAGATTTGTCTTGATAAATTTTCAGAGTTTTTTGTAACCTAGGTTCATGTCTGATTAAGGGATATTTTTTTTTATTTCACATAGAATTTGATGACCCAGAGAGCAGTAACAGTTCAGACATGGATGAGTATGGTTCAGATGTGGGTTCAGATGAGGAAATGCCTGCCAAGGGGAAGAAGGCGGATAAAAAGATGGCGGAGTATATGACCGCAATGGACAGAGAACTGGCTAAGACAACTGTTGGTAAAAGTTTCGAAAAAGACCCTGTTGCCATTTCAAATGGAAAGGTAGTGATAGTTTACTGTTACCCGTATTTTGTGTCAGGTCATGAAAACATATGCCCAGTTATTTTTTAGAATTATTTGATATTAACTATCTTCCATGTCTTTCAACAGGCAATAGGATATATGTGATACCTGAGCAATATTTGTGGTAAATCATATGTGTAATTTAATGCAAGTCTATGAACAGCATACTACCACAATTTGATACTTTTTTGTTTGTTTGTTAGTTTGGCTGTCTCATAGAATATAAATTATTATAAATTCTTACAAAATACTGAAATATTTTTATTTCACCAGGCCTCCACAACATCTAAGCCCACTATGGCAGAGATGGAGGATGATGATGACATAGACAACTTGGATGATGACGACTTCAAACCTGTGAATGTTGACATGACAGTTGTGAAGAATCTGTTGCAGTCCTATGCAGAGCAGCAAGGCCTTGCAGGACCTGCTTCTAACATTCTAGAGACAATGGGAGTGAAAGTTCCAAACCAACCGCCAAAGAAATAAAGATTTTGCCATGCTGAAGATCATTGTGACTTCAGTTCACTCAGCAGAAAAAACTTAAGAGACTTTATTTTATGTTTGAGAAACAGGTGAATTTTTAAGGTCAAGTGTGTCTTCTTTGTTAGCTGCAGGTCTTATGGCCCCATTTATACTAAAGAATTTAGGCCATGACTTGATCTAAACTTTAAAAGCAAAAAAATTAGTCTCCTATGAGAATTTCGGGTCAATTGTACAGAGACATTTTTAGATCAATATTCACAACATTTTGAGGATTACTATAAGATTTATCCTTGAAAAAGGACTGAAAAATGCTCTTTAAAGTGAAGACTAACTTTCGACTTAAAGTCTTTTGTAAAAACTGGGTCCCGAGGTCTCAAAGACTGTGATGGTGCTGGAGTTCAGCAGTATGGAAATGGTGGCACGTAACTTTCTCTTGTGAAATTTTAACATGCTAGCAGCTTGCTGCCGTGGCTTGGCTTTATGCAGTTGCAGAAGATACTGGCACAACTCCTTCATGGCATTTTTGTGACAAACTTTGGGTAAAAAACTTGTCTTTCTTTCATACCTCCACTGTTGTCACTTGTCCCACCCAGTAAAAAAGCACTTGAAGTGTGTATGTGTTGAATAACCCTGTCCTGTATGAAAAACCTTCAGTCACATTGTTAGTACCTTAATTTGGAAAAAAAATTGTCTGTTTTGTTTTCCTGGTCAAAATAATTTGCAAGTGTTCTTTACAGTGGATTCTACATTGTATTAGTAATGCTGAAGTAACCCTGAAGTATGTAAAATGCTATAACCAATTGTGGTGCTAGCTTTAATTTTTTCCCTTGGGGTGTGAGAGGGTGATGGGATTGGAACAGTGAAAAGACAGTTACTACTTTTGTAGAATTTTTTTGTATATTCTATTACTATGACTGATTAAATTGAAAGATTCTTTATGAGGGATGGAATGGCAGTGGTTTGTAGGTGGTAAATATTTTCTTCTGTAAGCAACTTATTTCAGTGTTGTGTTTAAAATCTTTTTAATTGCTGTCTGCATATAATATTCCTATCAGACCAGTGCTACTTAAAAAGTGGATTCAAGGTCTGAAAACTGATTTCGATGGTGCTATTTTTGATACTTTTTCAAGTCTTTGTATTTCACATTCATGCACATTTATCGTCTGTTAAACAGGTCTGCGTTCCACATTCCTTGTGTAAAAAGTCCCTTATACTTGCTCTTCAAAATAATTGTCGTTCGCACTGAAGCACTGAGCATCTTTAACACAAATGCTTAAAATCTTGGTGTAGTGTGCCTTTTCTTGCCATGTTTTCATGTTCTTTTTGTAATAATCCATTGTGATCCATAAGCATTTTGCCATCCACTGCAATAATAAGCTAGCCAAAGTGGTGTTCAGCACAGTGACTGTATTAAATGTTCTACAGTGTGTTTAAGTTTTTGATGTCTTTTTTAATGTAAATTGCATTAATCAGTGCATGAAAAAAATGATATCAAAATACTACCCAGTATTTGGTAGGCAGGAGATGGTGAAACATTATCCCACCATAAAGTAAAGAGATATTTGTATATAATCGTTCTTCTAGTCCATGTGCTGTTAATCAAATAATTTTAGGGCTGCCTTCATGTTTTTGTATTGTGTCTTCATCTTGAATCCTTGTACAGCTTTATATTAAATAAACATTTTGGAAAATAAAACTATTTGTTATAAGAAGTCAACAAATTTTGAAAGGAATAAAGTGTTTATTATAGTTCCTTTTAAATACGTGGAGGGATGTTTCTTGATTTCTAATTTCCAGCATGAGACACGTTTTATCCTGGCCTAGTTGGCAAGATAATATCCAGCTGACACTCTGCCTCAACTACCTGCTTAGTTATTTACAATACAATACGATTATGGAATGCAACAATACTAACACACTTATATTGAACATTATAATACATGAACGGCTGCTTTACTTTAACTCAACAATTCTCGTTCAGATGCTCTATCAACTATATTGCTTAAAATAAAATGTCTATCTTGAAGTAAAATGTTTAGGCACATATAAATAAAACTGAAAAGGGGAAAAAATGATAGACCCTAATTCAATAACATTGTTTTCTAAAGAAACTTTTTTTTTACTCAAGTCTTATTTGCAAACCTATTGCAAGTGTCTCTATGGACAAAAAATTACTTGAGGTGCCTGCTAAAATGATGAGTCTTCAACAGAAATTTTGGAAAAAAAACTGACGCCAATAAATGTCTGGTGTATCATATTTTAACTGTAAAAGTCACAGGTCTGGAGGGTGCTGCAGCAGCATCCTTCGCCTTAAAGAGAGCTTTATGGACCAAGGACACATCAACGTCACCTTGATTCTGAGGCTCCTTTGAGGATGCTGGGCCCAAACGGCCAAATCTGAAAAAAACCAAAGAAATTCTCTTACTATCTGACCTTATAAGTGTATCAGAGCTTGTGTCAAAATTTGCTGAAGTGTAAAACCACCTGTTAAACCTTAACCACATGGATTGCATTGCTCTAGTGTTCAAGATAGGGGCTCCACACAAAACTCTAAACATCCCATATCAAGAAGAATCAAAGACTGAGGGTAACCAGGACATTCTTTGTGAACTTACACGTGTTGTGATGAAGAAACTTCCGGGTCTTCAGGAGGCTTGCTCACTACTGCAGTTAGTGGGGTGACCATTTTCACCTGCATGGGAACACCTGAGTGGAGAAAAGACATAACATGTGGTCAGTAATAGTATAAAATATGTGTTATTTGCAATCCAGTTTAGTAATGACAACATACAACAATTAGTAATATTGGTCAAAGTCAAAACATTGCTTTGCTGGCCGAAAAAAATTGATATCAAACAAGGTACATCCAATCCAATTTCTAAATCCTGCAAAACAATATACTGCCTCTTTAAATGTTTTATTATGTAATTTAATACTTCAATGTAAATGACCTTCAAGATAACACCAAAAGTTGCGTCAAGTGACACTGTTTTCAATTCTTTATAAATGTTTCCTATTCTCTAAATGGTTTATAAAAATGTCAATGATGTCAATGATCAATGTTCAATTTAATGATCATATCTGATTCAGCAGTCACTATTACATCTTATCAGACCTCTAAGTCACAGATACAACATCGTGATCAATTATAATACATTTGACATTTTAATCATTTTACCTGCTCAAAAAAAAAAGAAAAAAAACAATACAGCACCACCTACCATCCAGTTCTCTGTTATGATACTTCTTGATGGCCAGCACAGCCTCTTCCTTCTTAAAGAACACAGCCTCTGCCACACCTGGCTTCAACATTCTGGCCTTCTTTAAAGCTCCCATTGCACTGAATAGTTCCTGAAATGTTAAAACATACAATGAATTCTAACAATTTATGGTCTTTAAAGTCAATTTTTATTAATCTTAATGTTTCCATGTTTTAAAAAGTCATTTTGAAAACACAAACACTTTACCATAAAAAACTAGTGTACATTTTGAAAAGGTTCTTCTGATTAAGATGAACACTGTCCTAGCATGAATTCCCTATACATACATTTCTTTGGCACATTTATTCATTTCTAAATCAATATACAGACATTAAACAAAACTGGACTACATAAACAGTATGCTGGCTTACAATGATATCTTCTTCTGTGACAACTGGGTGTAAATTTGTCACCAATATTTTGTAGCCTTGCAGGGGGCTTATGACATCAACTTCCGGCTCCTGCAACTGAAAAATGAAAGAAGTTTTTGTTTTCTTTTAAAAAATTAAGCAAGTATTTAAAACAAGTAAAATCCTAATACTGACCCATGTTTTCTACATCCTTTTCAAGGAATTGGCCAAGTAAGACCTTATTAAATATCCATAAGGTGAAACAGAATTTTTAAATGTTGAAAATACATAAAGAATAATCTGATCAAGCTCATTTTAAAAGCTGATCCACTTTCAAGGCTAACAGAGCAAGATGAAGATGAAGTTGTGAAGATGAAGTTGGCAATTTTACCGTCTTCACTTTGACCTGTTGCACTGGTTTTGGTGTCGTCTTGGCAGTAAGCCTGATAGGAGATCTTGTCTGGGAAATAACCGGAGATGGGACTTTCACAGCTGGCCCAGTAACTCTGACTGGTGGAGGAGTGTACGTGTACTCCATCTCTGGGTCAGAGTCTGGGTCTGGTTCTTCATACTGATCATTTCTAATCTGAATGATAGGACTGCGGGCTGGGAGAGAATGCGGATGTCTACGAGCTGCCATAGCTGCTGTGTTGGTCCTCACTGCACCCAATGGCTTGGCCTATAAAAGATTTATTTATTTATTTATTTATTTATTTATTTATTTACTGAATGGTACCAATCAAACATGAGAACAAAGCAAAAATTAAGTAATCATTATCAATTTCAAACAGAGAATATGTTCAGATAAAAGATGGCAATGAAAATTTCTCTGAATATATCATAATTTTAGCAGTCTCGGTTTAAAGGTACTTTGCTAATTCAGATATTTAACAGTTAATTCCTACTTACTTGTGCTGTTGTGGGTTTATTGGATGTTGTGACAAATATGTTGTTTGATCCCATTAACACCTGATGCCCAGATGTCTTCTGTCCTGGATTTCCAATCTACAAGACAAGGGTAATTCAGTTTCAACCAACAGTTCAAACAGCACAGAAACCAAGCCACTGCAGTGCTTATTCACAGCAATAATTGTAACCTTTTATATCAGGACTACTGGCAGTATGATACTGGCAGTCTGGTAACAATATATTTCTCATGTATCAACCTGCATGCATATGTATATGTATCATTGTGTTTATGTGTCTATTTATTATGATATTGTGGTAAAAGTTGCACCCTCATAAACTTTTATAGGGTAGGGGGCCATTTAGAAGAGTTAGGTCACAAAAGCTAGTGCGCACTAACTCCATGGAGACTCTCGCTGAATGCAGTCCGATTAAGAGACTAACACACCTCCTGTAGTCTAGTATTTAAAATAAAGAGAAGCTGGTGTTAATATGAATACTTGGAAATGAGGAGGCGTGTAAGTCTGAACAGCCCAATTCCAATGATAAAACAAACCAAATGTATGCTCCTCAGATATACTCAACAACTATTCAATAAAGTTTGGTGTCTTACCTCTTTTGAATCTGTATCTTTCCAAAAATATCAAATATTAGCAAGAATCAATAAAATTATATGTGTGAATAATCACGAAAACTTACTGCTCGGACAAGCCCCCCTGTTGTTTGGAGACTGGTCACCTGGAAAATAAATCAGCAAACAATTATATCTGTATTTACTAGTTATTACCGGAGTCTCAGCTGTATACAACATATAATAGTGTAGTTATATTGAGGTGAAACAGGGACTGACTGGACACCAGTATTAATTATTTTTATCAGATGTAACTGGTAAGACCAATAGTTCCAGCATGTCTAAAAAGATAAGATCTGTATGCTTAGTTTATGGACAATGTTCGTGAATAGCGAAACATGTATGTGCAAGTTATTAAAGGAGAAACACAGTTAATCTGGTGCATATGAGTGTTAAGTAATTTAATAAAATCTATTACTTGCACTATTACTGTGACTACTGAAGGATATCTCAACATAACAAATGTACCACAGAATATATGGCAACTTACTGTGAAATTCTGATTTATTCCTTGCTTAGGCTGTGTCTGTTGTTTAGAAAAGTTTCCCAGTCCTGTCACACTCACAGTAGGGCCCTTGTTGGCCTGTTTAGCTTTCAGCTTCTCTCTCGCATCAACAGGCTGCTGGGCCTTCTTATTTTGTATCCGCACTCGAGCATCCACAAACTTTGTTTTGGCTATAATTTTGTCTCTGGCATCTTTAATGGGCTTACTTGCTATTTTCTGTCTAGCATCAAAACCTTTGACATTTCCCAGGCCAGTCACTGCAAATTTTGTTTGTCTTTGTATTCCAGGTCTTTGTTTTATGTTTCCTTGCTGCTTTGTTGTAAAAACAGGGCCTTTCGTTTTTGCACCAAGTCTTTGCTGTGCAGATGCACTGTGGAAAGAAAAACAGTGAACATGTAACTCAATATCTATAACACATCTTTTTATGTGATGTACAGCTTTTCTGAACAAAAAATAAATTCANAAGGCCGAACTATAAGAGATTTGGATAAGCGGTTTTATTATGGAAGAGAGTGCGGTCATGGATATTTTAAAAGGGTCCTCCCAAATGTCAGGGCGTCCAATGAGCGCCAGTGTATTTTTAATGCCGGTTGACCAGGTTGAGGTGTTAAGTCTGTTTAAATTTTCATTTTCGTGAAGTGCATGAGTAACTAAGGAGGTGGTGTCATGGTGCTTTTTATATTGGAGGCTGTGCCAGTATTTGAGGGCCAGTGTGTAGGCAGTGGTCAGTATTGGGAAGCTGCCCAGTTCTCCGCGGACAGCATGTGAGGGAGATTTTCGGTTAACACCTAGGATAGTTTTGCAGGCCTTGAGATGTAAGGTATGTAAACTGAGTACAAGAAACCTAAATCATGCTCAATCAAATTCCAAGCACCCTTGATGTGAATAGTGCGCAAATGGCTCTGAAATGACAAGAATATTGATTGCGCATCACACTTCCTCCATTACATTTCAGAGACGGTACACCTGTCAAAAAACCATCTACATCTTGAAATGCATTCGTTAAATATACAGAAATGGGATATTCAATGGAAAGAGAAACTAAGTCAGAGAAAGCGGCGACTTAGATATCAAGGGTCGCGAATGCAAAACATAAGCACTTGCGCATTGTTTTCTACGTCCATATTCAGATAATGTGAGCACAGACTTATAAAGTACGTTTTAGGATTACTTACCCGGGTCTAGAGACAAATTTTCTTTGATTTTTGGTGATGTAGTCGTCCAGAGAGACGTCCATTTTGCAGCGACCCAATTTTCCCCAATGTGTTGAAGTGAATGGTGTGGACACATTTCATTGGTTTAAAATCGTCGATAACAGACCCGCAGATATACACATGTGAGTGAGAGATAAAGTGTGATAAACAAGTCAAATAAGTTGTACATCGTAGTATCATACCGGTGCGAGCATATTTGGGGTATTTTACCAGAACTGAACTTTTGCACATGTTCAAACTTGGATAAGAAAGAATGGGGAAGAGACCAAAGTCATATTACATAAAATGTGCAATGAAGAAAAGGAAGAGAGAATTTAGTCTTGATGCTGGCATGAAGGGTTTTCTTCTGACCTGCAATAATAATGAAAAGCAGTGTGTAAGAGAAGCATACAACATCCTGAACGAATATGCAGATAAGCTGTATGGACCAGAGAAGGTACTGCTTCATTTATTTATTTGATATTATATATTTATATCTGCAATTTTTATGTACTGACTAGTACTAGTAGTTCTAACCTTTCAAAAGATCCAATTAAAATTATTTCCAATAAAAGAAAAAACTCGATCTTTATCAACAGTATCATGGAACCTTGCTTAAGTATGTTTTATTTTTGTGTGTGTGCGTGTGATATACTATTATAAAGAATTAAAGGGGAACACTTCATCATATATATACTGCATACAGTATAAACATCATGGTACATATCTTACACTGCCTTTAGTAATTCAGTTAATGTCCTTTTTTTTTTTTTCAACTAAGGCCGGGAGTGGCGAAAGAGATGGCTCAGATGATGGAGAGGCAGAGGAGGAGGAAGAAGATATCAGTAAAGTGTTGGAAAAAGAACTGCACACACTAAAAGAGACAGATTCTTCACAGAGAAGATTCCAGGTATATTCCTTTGAATGCCAAATGAACTTGTTTACACGGAATGCTAAAAATTCTTAGGTATTTAAGCCCTTTGAGAATATTTCAAAAGAAATGATTGGTATGATTCAATATGGTCAAGCAATTAGCATTTTTCTCCTATTCATGTAGTATTTCTTCCATTTTCATGCAACTCTTGGACAAAATAATATACATCTAGGTATTATAATAATTATTTATTTATTTATTTATTTATTTATTTATTTATTTATTTATTTATTTTCTTCTCCCAGGTAGTAGAAAGTGGTGCCAAAAATGTAATTTTCATCAGGACTACACTTGAAGACCCATGTCACCTGGTTCATGCCATTCTTAGTGATCTCCAGGAAACAAAGCAACAGAAAGCTAGATATATCATGAGGATGCTTCCCATAGCTACAACTTGCAAGGCTGTCCTGGAGAAGGTATTAGAAAGTGTAGAGTCAGCATTTGACGCAGAGCTAGGGCCTAGCACGGCAGGGCAGTCCTTCTACATCATGGCCAAGATTAGAAATAACAACTCTTTTAGTACTGCAGGAATTTCTAAGGAAATTGCTGGCACCATAATTACAATGAATTCAAAGAATTCTGTTGACTACCAAAATCCTGATATAGTTGTATTGGTTGAGATACTGAAGGGAAATTGCTGCATGAGCATTGTGAGAGATTACTTCAAGTTCAAAAAGTACAACCTTCATGAAGTTGCTAAAACAGTTACAACAGAACCAAAGGAAGGGGACTATCAAAGTCAAGATGATCAAGGGGAGGCAAAAGAATTAGATACTGGTGAAGAGACAAAAATTGAGGAAACAAAAACTGAAAGCATAAAGGATGTCTCACAGACTCCAGTGGTAGCCAAGCTTACAGAAAACCAGAAAGATTCATCACAGCAGGTGTAAGTCTATAAGACATTATGGTTTGGTTATGTTAAATGGCTTGTCAAGAATTATGTATCAATAGGATCAGTAATCCCTAATGTACTAGTCTTTGTGTTTGGTTTTTTAAAGCAAGGGAAGTTATAAGGAGTTTAAGACTTATTTTCCAAAAGGTCATGCCTGAAATTTACTCGAAAAATGCAAAATTTTCACAGACAAAAAGTGTAGCATTTTATTTTAATTGCACTCCATTAAATCTGTATCATAATTTTTTTTTTTTTTTTTTTTTTTTTTTTTTTTTTTTTTTTTGTCACCTCACAGCATAAAGTTTTTATAATCTTTCAGTTTACCTGAGTTGGATTCCTCCACCCCCACCACCAGTGCTTCTCAGTCCACAGCAGTTGTGGAAGTGCAGGATTCCAGAGTAGAAGATTCTGAGGATGTTCCATCTGGCTCAGGGACCGGAACTGGATCATGATATTTCTTACTGTGATGTTCATTTTAGCCTATGGTCTATGGTTTGGAATAAAAACTCACTCACAAAATCTGGTATTTAAGAGAAAATCTGAAAAACTGTGGAGATATGTTTTCACTGATATGCAGTTAAGTTTTTATAGAACAGAGCGTCACAAACATAAGCTAAAGCAATTAAAAAAATGACTTGGATATAAATGATTCTAAAAACCGATTCTTATCAGCCTGTTGTCCCATTAACGTCATGTATTTTACCCTCTTCATTTATATACAGTAGAATTGTGAGGCTTAGATTTGTATATCTTTGTATTTAATTATTTTGTCAGTATACATGTCTAAGCTGATTTCAGTGCCTATACATGCCTGCTTGCTTGTTCTTTGTCTACCAGCCCTGTATTGTTTCTCATTCCATTAAGCAGAAAATATTGAATGCAGTGCATTTAATGTAGCAATATAAAAGAAATCTTTACATCATTATCTGGAGAAATGATGACAATTTTCTGGTATCTTTTATCAGAGACATTGTGTAACGTTATGTGTAAAAACGTGCAAATGTCAGCTTCCTCGTGATTTTATAACCATTCATGTAATGCCACTGACATATCCCTTTCCTTGATAGTCAACCTAGCTCAAATGGATGCAAATTAGGGCATTAAAGATGGAACATACAGGGATATTGTTAATTCTTTAATATTCCATTTTGGACCATTCATCAGTCATGAACCTTGTGCTTGCTTTATTCCTGTCATCAGACAGAAGTTTCTTAGTTGACAGCAATTTAGTGAGACTCCCCAGGGAGTTAGATCGATCCAGATGGATCGATCTAGGCATGGGAACCCAGTCTTATTCTTTATGTACAGGTGTGCTCATGAAGCCATCATTCCTGTCTTTTACCATAGATAATATCTTACCTGGAATGAATCCCCAAAGCACCAACTGTCATACAGTATATGACATCATATTGTGTTATGAATTTAAAAAAAAGTTATGCGTTTCAGCATTTTTTCTGGGATACGCAATGACTGCATACCATAATTAAATTCAACATTTTCCACTGTTGTAGTCCTTTCAATCAATATGTGTAAAATATTCCATTCATTTGATCAATAAAATATTTTGAAGTTTAGATATTTTTATTTTTATTCAAAAGATAAAAACAAATCAATACAGCGTGGGTCATGTTGGGTTTCACGTGTTTCTTGTGCAATTCAACAGTTGCAAGATGGAAACTACCAAAAATGAAAAAAAAAATGTATTTGTAAGACTTAATCTAAGCCTTTCTTTTTTCATGACTGGGTGAAGCCAAACTTATTTATTCATCTTTATCATTTATTAATTTCGTTTAATTTTTGTCAGATTACAGGTTATGGTTGAGTTTCTAATAATTGTAATGATAGGATTCGTATTGAGAAACCGCACCTCTATAAAGTTATCTGTTCTTTTTATCAAATGAAGATGACCTTGGCGATAGCTGAATATATAGCGTCTTTTTATGATTAATGGCCATTACATGAAATGACCTGCCAACATGTAGACTCGACCTTGAACGCCAGCAGGTGTTTTGTTATCGAGATTTTAACAATAATGGGCAAGAGCGTTCAAAACATCAATTAAGTCTAACACCGGTTGACCACAGTGTTATTGTGAGTCGCTAATATTTTTAATGAAATATTTATTTTTAATGACCCTCGGCTTGAGTTCGTGGTTAAATCTGGTTACAGGACAACCACTATATCCAGGCTTAGTGTGGTCATATTTCAACATGTTTTGTAAAATAGTTTCTGGACCCTCTGCGGGAGCTTGCATAATTCTAATACCAGTCTTATTCTTTCTCTGTTTTTGTAATTTTTTAATGTGTCGTTTTCAGATATATATTTTAATGAATACGAATGTTAATGAAAAAAGCCTTCGTCTCTTCCTAGTGTAATTGTGCTAGAGAAGCAGAGACAGAAGCATTGATTATAGCAGTGGCTTGGGTTCAAAGTGGAGAGACGTGTAATGCAGTCTATAAGAGTCGTGATGTAAGAATTTTATCAAAATATTAAAAGGGAAATGAGTGATTGCGTTTTAATTATTGCAATTTCTTATTTTTGTTTTTGTTTTTGCATATATACATTTTTTTACATTCTGATGTTTTCTAGTCCTGATTTATTTTTTAAAATGAGATAAGTCGAGTGTAGTACACAGAATGAAGCTTTACTCTAAGACTAAGAACAATACATGTCGGTGACGACTGAAATTGTCAGTAGAGCTCTACATGTTCAATCTATGAACTTGAAACAAAATTCCTGACCTTTGCGATGATTTAGTCCGTAGATCAAATCTTAGATCCTTTCTTAATTATGATCATCAGCAACACATTAACTTTTTATGCCGTATGGAATAACAACTTGCATGAGATAGGAACGTGCTCGAATGTACCAGTGTGGGAGTTTCTACTAAAGACTATGATTTACAGATATATGATTCAACGACCTGAACGGCTGTTTAATGATAGCATGGTGAATAATATAAGTGTCCTGTCTTATCTCCTTCGTAATGACTGCTCTGTACCTGGTAACTCAGTTCCACTACCACTTCATTTTCTCGTGAAATGAATCATAATCAAAATGTCAAAAAGTGAAATAACAAATATTAAGTTTTTTATGCCACTCCCTCATCAAAGTACGTATTATCTACCATGTCTTGTGTAAAATAAAGTCTAGATTGGTACCTATAAAATATTCACCTTGTGCAAGTTTCTCAGTCTTTATCCACAAAAAAAGTAAGGCCTATACTGTCAAGCACCATTTCACTGTGATTACAATTTTTGCCAGATTATATCTGATTATATCAGGTTATATTTGTTAAGTAACTTCATAAAACGACATCTTATGCCCAAGTATTTGAATTCTGCATTCCAGTTTGCTTCTTAAACAGAAGTTACTAGAAAGAATTTAACGTTGTAGGTTTTGCTGTACTACTCGAATAAAAATGAGAACTTCCTAAATCCATTTCCAGATAGTTTTGAACCAGGTCTTCTGTGAGGAGAACTGGTTTACCGTCCTGGGTATCACACGCGACCTCACTGCATATCGTTAATAAACGTAGGGTTAGCTTAATTATATCCACTTTACAGATTTGGAAACATCAAAGTAATTGTACACCACGGTACCAAGCAGCTATAAAAGATTTTCTGCAAGGAAAGAAAAGATTCCAGTTGAAGTGGAATAACCACGCGTGGAGTTGTCATGGTTCATGAATTCACCCAGACTTTCAGGGGACCAAAAACAACAACAACAACATTTTCAATCCTCTGAAATATTTTGATCATATTGTTAACATAAAATATGTAGAGGTCGTGGAAACAGAAGTCAAAACGCGTTTATTTTTTGTCATGCCAAATTACATATCCATAACAGATATATCTATTTTGAAAAACAAAAATAGATCCTTATGATGATTTTACCCTAAAGAAAAGATAAAATAAAAGATAATGTGTTTCAAAAACAAAAATATCAACACGTTTTGAATTTTTTCAGTCCAAATAGATAACACCGATAAAGTCATTTATAAAAAAACAGGCTCCCGTCCTCATTGTTTACGCTCACTTCAGTGCACAATAGACATCTTCTTTGTAAAATGAGCTACTCTGTTCTCGATACACCGATTAAAGAATGAGATAGCATAAAGAAGGCATGCATGCAATTTGAACTGTCAACAACTTTTTTTTCTGGCATCTTCTCAGTAAAACTAGGATAAAATCTTTGAGGTTGCAACTTGTTCACATAAGACGTTTTTATCTTTTTCCATTACTTTTTCTTAACGGTGTTTATTTAAATCATACCTATTTCACCAACTGATATGGTAATAGAATTAAGTTGCGTAGGTCCTATTGTTTCAACATTTGTTTTACGTTTATTTCCGCCATTAACTGATGTCACCAATAAATGGTTAAGAATTTCAATGCCCATTTGTTCTTTTCGAACCGAAACTCTTATCGTGCATAATAGTGAAGAGCACGAAATGTTAATGATAAGTACAAAATGTGAAACTGCTGATCCGCGTCATAGAATTGTTTAAAGACAATGGATACATTGTATATAGCTTTTAGCATAGTAGTATCTTACTCCTTGAGAATACTTTTTGAAGCATGTATAAAATGGTTAAACTTTGTGCGTGAAGCAGTCAGATTTTATTTATTTATTCATTTATTTATTCTGTTATTATTGTTATTAATTGTTTTTAAAAAAAGTTTCAAGAGATACAGAAAAGGGTCAAGTAAATTGCTCTCAGTCTCAAGGTACATATTATTTTCACGTTTTAACCTTTTCCCTAACCACAAAAACAACACCAGCCGTATGAATGAGTACAGAAAGCAATATTCACATTAACTTTTACTTTTCCCAGGCAGACGTCTGAGGGCCGTGGTCATGGCAACAATCATTAGAATTCTACCCTACGTAGCCCTCTCTTGCGTGTCTAATGTCCATGAGGATAAAATTAGACTATGACGTTCTCTCTTCAAAAACACTTCACATCGTTTTCATGGTAAGAGGGTATAAAAGAATTTACATTGACACATGGTTCCAGTCTGTGCCCCATCTTATCTATCATTAGCAATCGCTGCAGAAAGAAAAATATATTTTCACCGGTATGCCAATTCCTATTGACATGTTTCCATGCTTCAGAGGTAAGAAGATGAAACAGATGAAAGCCATGGCTGCAGCCAACGGAGTGCCCGACCTGATTTTGCATGTAAGACTCTCTCTGTCTCTGTCTCTCTCTCTCTCTCTCTCTCTCTCTCCGTTCATTCACCTCACAGAAGACTCACACTGCACTGAGTCGCGATATTATTGGATCCTGAAGAGAGTTAACAAACACAATGACCGACCAAAATCAATAATTGGTGTTGTGGCGTTCGCCGGGTGTGTTCGCTACGCCGCGTGAACTTCGCTCGGCTGCGACCGATAGTGAGGTCGAGCGAACTACAGACGCAGGCAGCTTGAAACAGTTATCTGAACCATCACTATGAACCTGTTATGGAAGATTGGGATGTTCGAGTAAACAAGCAGTGTCTTAGTAAACACACACATATATATACAGCCATCATTCCTCTTGAGTTTGACTACAGGGTAGCGCCTGATCTATAATCACCATTATCAGTGACTTATCACATTTAACACAGAATGTGGGGCTTAATCGCGAGACGACGGTCGCAGTGCGCAGACGAAGGAAGGGAAGTTGCAAAGAAGTGCTCGTTTTTTATCGGAGACGAAATGGAGGTATTTACATGCATAGTGCAATGATGTTTGATGATATAAGCAAATGCATCTGGTATATTATTTCACGTAAATCTCTTTGGTAATCGTGTTGGGGAGTTTAAGGCTTTTGTTGGGCTAGCTGTTTGTTTGGTTTCAAGTATCTCAAACCAAGGAGTCATTGTTTAACATGATTTAAGATGCCAAAGCTGTGCTGTTCAGGGTGGAAGCGTGGAGGTTAGCTCAGTGAAAGAATGAGTTACATTGCTTGAATCGGTGTTACATGTGGGAGATTACAATCAAAATGGTAAAGAATTAATCCATATTTAGCACTTAAGATAGACTTTGGCTATTAGGTTTTTCCTGCGTTCACCGTGCATTGGGCGCTACATTTAAACTTGGACATAATTATTAAACCAGGATCCAAGGTAGATCATGGATCCTGGGTTTAAATTGTATTCTTTTCAGTTGTCTTTTCGCTACATGTAGAACCTAGTTTAGTAAAAGTTTGTGTTATAATTGTTAAACATTGCTCTGGTACATGTCAGACATGTACGTGTCCAAATGTGCGTTTACGTTTTGAATTCAGAAAGTTAAAGCTGCCGTTTTATAATCAGTTCCATATGTGTAACGCCGCTCGTCATTCACCAAATTAAAAAGAAAAAGGACCAGATCCTTGGGCCAACAAATTCAATAGATTTTCAGGTCGGAATGGGCTAAATTTGGGTCATTTTATATCTGTATTTTAATATTATATTACTATTTCTCCGAGTAAAGAGCGCGAAATCTAAACAGATCAAATACCGCTGTGACGCTTTGTCAGGCGTGGCTAAGGCGTCTTTTTTCTCCTTAATACACAACTGAATTAGAGCTTTAATGTGTGTAACACACGACATTTGCTACGTTTCGCGTGCATAAAACTTTTAATCCCTATGCCTCACTTGTTCGACCTTATGATATAAGTTGAACGTATAAAAAAACGCCACTTTTGGTAAATAATGGACATCTTACTCAACGAACATCGATCAGTCACTTTTCATAATACATGACAACAGGCTAGTGTCGTATAGGTATTATTTGATATAATTGCCTTCATTTTTCTGCTAAAATTGCAGAATCCTTTATGTATAATCTCCTAGCTTCCAGGCATTTCTTTACAAAATAAAGCACAATGTAAGCACGCAATACGGTTACAAGTCTTAATTCAGATCTAATTTGAACTTCAAATGAGATAACTTGCAAAATCGGAATTCGCCTCAGGCTAGAATGAACACTAGCTACTCTGTTTGACTAAAGACGAGTTTTAAAAAGAAGTCATTATAATATTGAACGTTTGTTTCAGCTTGGGCTGCTTGGATGATGAATTTACAATTTACAGTAGCTCTCCCTCACGACATACTGATTAAGTGATCCCGTGCACCTCTGTATTACTGTCATTCCATTGAAAATAATAGCTTTTGCGTAGTTCAGGATTCTGTAATTACTGCAAGCTATATTACTACCAACTAAGACGTATGGAAACTTAACATATGTTTTTAGAATACCCATTGGTCGTTACAAATGCCATGGATATAGTTCTAATATATAAGTTTAAGATTTTGATCTTAAAATGGGCCAAAACGGAAACTACGCTATGGATATTGTTCTAAAATATAAGTTTAAGATTTTAATCTTACAATGGGCTTAGACTGCCCTAGGAGTATGCGGTCGTCATTTACGTTAAACATAAGGTATATGAATGATGAAGAGATTATGAGTTGCAGCAAAAAAGGCCAATCGCTCAATGTAAACAAGACTATTTCTGAATCCTAAAACATTGATATACACCACAAAATTCGAAATTGTCAATCCAGATTAACGAAAAACACGACGATGGGATTAAATCGATGAAAAGATAGTGCCCAACATTGCTCAACATTTACTGTTAGTAAAAGGAAAGAAAAATGATATTGATTAGAACTATATAGTCTTAAAAGAAGGCGGTCCCTGTGTTTTGTAAGTGTCTTTGTTACTCTGATATAAAAAAGGACGAGAGCTTGTCGATGTAACGAATATTGATCAAACAAATCTAAAATACTGCCTACAGGTGTACATACAGCTCTTATTGTGAAGGCACGTGTTAGGTTCCACGCTTAAATTAAAATTGTATGAAAGCGTTTGGATTCGTGGCGTTTTCCTTTACTGTTTTCTCATCATATAGCATACCGGGGCTACTTTTGCTGTGTCTCTTTAATTGTGAGTAAAACAAAAGTTCGGCATGGTGTGATCTAACCCTTTAATCAATATGGTTACTGCCCTGTCCTGCGCATGTCTACATTTTGACTTGAGTCGACAACATGTGCGTTTTATTGATCTGAACAGTTACAAAGTCTTGGGATGTTATTAAAAAAGTGATATAGTTAACACACGAAAGCTGCCTGAACCAATTTGATCTACTGCTAGGAGCAGACTGTTTTTGGGGCATAGGCGGTAATAAAGAACCAAATGTATTTTGAGAAAAAATATCACAGTCACGTCATCTGGACTAAAACACACGGTGTAGGCAAGGCACAACGATGTAGACTGCTTTTATCAAATCCTTGGGAATGTGTGCTTGGAGTAGAAGAAGAACTAATGTTATGTACTAAATATACAACGTGGTGCAGTCAGTTGTGGCCAATTTGTGGTCTGACACCCATCACAGTGTGCATTTTATAATGGACCATCTAAGTTAAAATTACCTGTGTAGAAGCCCCGTGATCACTGATTTGAAAGGTGTATATAAGACTTTATTTTTTTCAAGATGTCTTGATCTCATTTATTCTATTTAAAATTCGGTAATTTGATTTTTAATTTAAGCGTATGTAACAATAGCATAAAGAGCGGCTATATTTCTACATTGTGCTTCTAAATATACAAGGTAAATTGAAATTGGTGTTTACCAAGATAGGCCTATCAGGTGTATAAAGAGGTGTGCCTCTTATTTTATCATTTGTTTTTGCAACATGCTTTGTAATTTATGAAAATGTCAATAATAATACAAATATGTATCTGTTACGGACAATTATTTTATGTGCGTAAACATATCGTAGGTAGATCCATCCTTTAATTAGGTAATTCCCTCTTGTTTAGAGGAAAGAACTACATACAGCAATACTTGGTTACTACAGATATAGCACCGCACACCCGAAGCATGCCTTTCTGTCAGTAAGAGCGTAAGATTTATTTCCTGATATATTGTGCATAAAGCGTTATAAATTATACTTTCAGAATAACAACAATCAACCCGAAAGAAAGGCGAAACAAGACGAGGAATCCCTATATAACCCAGCTCTTACTGAAGAAAAGGAACCAAATGAGAACAAAACAGATCTAGAGGAAGAGCCAGTACAGAGTGAGAGGAGAGGGTCTTTCACAGAAGCTGTGTCTAACTTCTTACGTCCCCCCAAAGACGGGCAGAAGAAACCTCCTGCCGCAGAGAGAAAAATGTCTCGAAAACACAGCATGCTACTACGCCTGGAAGAGTTCGAGGATTATAAAAAGCATCTAAAGAATGACATTGTAAGTTCACACAGTTTGTTAAAAATGAACAGTTCGCGAGATTCAGAGATGTTTTAACATATGGACGGATATCATTTATAAAATCTCAATTATTATAACATTTTTGTTAAAGTTGTTTTAGTTTAATTTTTGATACATTTTCACTGTAGAGTTGTGCAACAACAATATACAACACCACAAAATCGTGTCTTGCAAATTATCAATATTAAAAATTTCAAAGTTTAAAAACCAGGGAGGTATTAAAATAACGAACTAGGGTTTTTTCTGTTAACATGGATAAGAGTTTGGTGAGCGGTAGAGATTTTCTCACGAGTATGTTTACAACTTTTTACTATTTCAGGGGGACTTAAACGACACCATTGAACTTCTGAAAAACAAGATTATCGAGTTGGAGGAACAGTTATTACAGGCTGACGACGACATGGAGGTCATGAAAGAGGAAAAAACACTGGTGGAAGATGAATTGGAAAAAGCTCGCGTGCAAAAAGAAAGTATGTTCTGATTCCACCACATTAAATGACATAGCTTGTAAATTTGCACATTTGTTGTATTATTGCGTTACATTAACCATTGGCCGCCGCCTTGTTTTGATTCTAATCGTGTTTCTCAGTTATCTTTGACGTCAGTCGTTGGCCTAAGGTGAGACCAAGTAAGTTTATACTGAAGCAGCTTGTAATTCGATTATTGAATTATCCTCTACCTTATTACATTAGCTGATTGGTTGCACACACA